ATGGTACAAGATAGAAGAATCAATTGTGTATCCGCCCAGTGTCCTGTTCAAATGATTCTGGTAAATGATGCTCAGAACAACAAGAAGAAAGCAATAATCTTCCAAGATTCTGGTTCCGACATATGTCTAATGAGAAAAGAATACGCTATGAAACTGGGTTTACGTGGAAAAGAAATCACATTAAACATGCTTCTTGCCGGAGGTGAACGGAGAGTAGAACTTTCAGAAATACTTACCGTAACAGTGTCTCCATTTGACGACACGGCGGCGGAGAAAACTTTTAATGTATACGTCGTTAACAAACCTTGTAGTGATGCTAAAACTGTGTCAAAGAAATCTTTGGAAAAATACAGTCATCTGCAACCACTAATAGACAAACTTTACCTAGATGGTGGAAAAATAGACATTCTTATCGGTACTGAATTTTCAGATGCATTTATCGACCTTGCATCAAAAGTTGGTGAAAGTGGTCAACCTATAGCGAAGAAAAATATTTTCGGTTGGTATATTCTGGGTTCAGTTGATGACAAGACTGAATTCAAATCCTGTAATTTTGTAAAATCGGCTGTGATCGAGAACTTTAATAGTGCTCAAACAAACCATGACATAAAGCAGCTGTTGTGTCAGGATCAAATTGGTATCAAGCCAACAAAATATTGTGTATGTTCTGAAGACGTATTGAAAGAAAATCGCTTCATTAAACTATTAAGCGAATCAACACAACTTATCGACGGAAGAATCCAAGTTAGAATGCCCTGGGTATCTAAAGGACCGCCTCTGTACAGCAACTATGACCTCGCCTACAAAAGGATGGAGTCCACAGAAAGATCCTTGATAAAGAAAGACAAACTGGAAGTCGTTAATGCAGAAGTCAACAAATTGGTTGATTCTGGTTTTGTGAAGATACTCAATCAAGGTGAAGTAAATCACTCTAAACCTGAATTCTACCTTCCAATGCAGGCGGTATTTACGCCTGGACGATCCACTGAAGTACGGCTAGTGTTCGATTCAAGTGCAAAGGGACACGATGGACTTTCCTTAAACGAAAGGTTAGAAAAGGGACCTAATTTAATAAACAGTTTATTAGAAGTTCTAATAGCATGGAGATGGGATAATGTAGCATACTCAGGGGACATTCAAAAGATGTTTAACCAAGTGCTTGTCCATCCCGATGATCAAGTCTTCCATCGGTTCTTGTGGCGACCAAGTCCAAGTGAGCAACCCAAAATATACCAATGGATACGACTAAGTTTCGGAGATAAACCTGCTCCTTCAATTGCATCAAATGCTATCAACGTACTGGCAAAAATGTCAGAAACCAAATATCCGGAAGCAGCTAAAGAACTGTTAAACAGGACATACGTTGATGATATAGCTGGGTCAAAAGCAACCCAAGATGAAGCAAAAAACACAATAGAAAATATCGATTCTATTCTTGACCAAGGCCACTTTAAAATAAAGTGCTGGTATTCTAACAACGGACTCATTGATCAGGATACTTCAAAAGAAGTAGTAACAACTATTCTTGGACACAAATGGAACAAACAAACGGACACCTTTTCGTACAAAAAAGATTCAATCAGTGAAGTCAAAGGAATCTTCAACAAACGTAAATGCCTAGCATCTCTTGCACAAGTCTGGGATCCAATCGGACTTGTCTCGGCTGTAACAATTAAGTTCAGAATAGACATGCAAAATTTATGGGCCATAGGATATAATTGGGATCAAAGTCTACCCGAAGATTTACAAACTAAATGGTTGAATAATATACAGCTAATGAATGAAATTCTCCAGACAACCTTCGAAAGGAAATTGAAACCAGAAAACGCGACAGACAAACCCGAAGTACACGGTTTCTGTGACGGTGGAGAAATGGCTTTCGGTGGCGTAGTATTTTTAAGATGGACATTAAACAATAATGAATATGTATGCGTTCCAGTGTTAACCAAAGCCTTAGTGGCGCCGCTAAAGAAGAAGTCTATACCACGACTAGAAATGTTAGGGTGTTTACTGCTAACCAGAATGTATGAGTCGCTGATCAAAGCACTCACATTTGCCGGAGCCAAAGATTTTCCCGTGTTCTTATGGTGTGACTCGACTACAGCTTTAAAGTGGCTAAAATCACCACCACAGAAGTTTCGACCATTCGTGTCAGCTAGAGTCGCTGAAATACAGGAAACAATTGATGTTCAATATTTCAGGTACATTCCGTCAGAGTTAAACCAGGCCGACGCACTTACTCGTGGAATTCAAGTAAATCAACTTTCTCGATGGTTAGAAGGACCAGACTTCCTCAAATTAAATGAATCGGAATGGCCAAATTTCGAAATCAAACTGTCAACTCACGAAGATGAATCTGGACAAACCCTAGCTGAATACAAAACTATAAAAGGATCAACGCATGCAATTCAGAACAATAATACAACGGACGTTATGGATAAACTCTTAAACAGCGTTTCAAGCTTTATCAAACTAAGAAGATATCTGTGTCATTTAATACGATTCGCTAAATATATCGCGAAACGAGACTTTAATAAAGGTTCAATTACTGTATCTGAACTAAAACATTCACAAAATGTGTTATATAAATGGACTCAAATGGATCTTCAAAATCCATTACAAAAGTTGGGATTCACATTACTACCGGATGACAACGGGATAATTCGAGCACACGGAAGACTTGAAAACATCCGAACCTTACCAACGGATCAACGAAATCCAATCATTTTACCAAAGGACCACAAATTTGTGAAGTTACTACTAATTCATTTGCACGAGAAACGTGGACATTGTGGTTATAAAAGTCTCATAGCAGAAGCTAGAAAACATTTCTGGATTTTCGGATTACGGAATACTGCTAACTCTCTAACTAGAAACTGTATTACGTGTAGAAAACTGCGTCGAAAGCCAGAAAAACAGCTAATGGGACAGCTACCAGAACTCAGAGTAGCTGCAGGATTCCCAGCATTTTACAACACCGCGCTTGATATGTTCGGTCCAGTTCACATCAAGTTAGGACGAAAAACTCTTAAAGAGGCTCAAGTTATAATATTCGCCTGTATGACGTCAAGAGCAATACATCTTGAACTTGTTACCGACAAAAGCTCAGACACATTCCTCATGGCATATCGTAGATTTTCGTGTATAAGAGGTCAAGCTAAATGTTTATGGTCCGACCAAGGAACTAATTTCATTGGCTCACAAACTTACTTGAAAGAAATAATGAAAGACTGGGACATAAACAAAATCAAAAATGTGATAACACAAAAATATGGATGTAACTTGCAGTTCCAATGGGACTGGAATATACCTCACGCAAGTCACATGAATGGTGTAGTGGAATCCCTCATTCATTCCGTTAGACAAGCTCTAAATGCTACGTGTAAAATGCGCGAATACACTGAAGAACAGTGGAATACTATCTTAGCCGAAACAACATATCTTATAAACAGTCGACCATTATATCCCGCATCGAACGAAATTTTCGAGGATCCACCAATAACACCAAACGATCTATTATTTGGACCAAACATCACTCCTCCACAACCTGAAGATAAAAATCATATCAATCCAAGGAATTTAAATCGAAGTGCCCAGAGTCGGGTCGCTGAATTCTGGCATTGTTGGCTAAAATATTTTGCCCCAACTCTTATCCCGCGAAATAAATGGTACAGATCAAGAGACAATCTAAAAATAGGAGATCTTGTACTTGAAATAGACCCAAACCAAAAACGGGGACTGTGGAAAATGGCGGTTATACACAAAGTTTATCCTGGATCGGACGGAAAAGTTCGTAAAGTTCAGATAAAGACTGCTTCAGGACTCTACGACAGACCAATACATAAATTATGTTTAATAGCAACTAAAGAAGAACTCACTCCTTGTGTATAAAAACTGCAGTTCAAAAGTTTTGCGATTTGTCGTGACTTAAAATTATTTTAAAAATTTTATCACTGGGTCCCGAGTATCAAGAACTTTTGACAAATTTCGTTTATTTTAAATATTTCAAAACGTAGAAGTGTTGCTTTAATGCTTCCATAGAAAGAGTCGGTTTCATTTATTACGCATATTTTAAAAATAGTAACATTACATCATTCTTTATCCAATCAAAATTGTGCATCTATTAATATGTAGGCCTACTTCCAGCCAATCAGTTTTACTTTAATAAAAAAGTGAGGACAATAGGAAAAGAAGAGATAGTAAGCGCCATTAAAAAGTTGGCTATAAACTTATAAATCCCTTTAAAATAAGGCGACCAAGTCTTGTAAATCTTCTTAATTTCAACTCTGTATATTCCCACTGTTAGAGTGAGTAAATTGTCTAAATATGTCATAGTAGAAACAACCATATTTTCACGGGTAAAACACGGTAAGAGCATCAGTGAATAACTCTCTTTAATGATTTGTTTACTTTTGTATCTTTTCAGTTGACTTGTTTGCTTACAATAAAATTTGTAACTGGGAGTTTAAGGTTCAACTTAAATAAAATCTCACAAGTGCAATCACTTAGGAATATACTAGAGGCCCCTTTCACTTCGTCTTCTGTAGAAAACAGAACAAATACTCTACGAAACGTCGCCTTAAATACAATAGTAGCTGTTTTCCATAAGTATGTGTTTTGTTGTTCGTCTAGATAGTTTCTTATAGTATGCCTGCTTGATTTACTGTTATCGTGCGGTGAATATCCTTGTGAAAGATGTAAAATGTAGGCGCGCTAATAAAAGCATTTTCTAACAAAACATTTGTCATTTGACACTTTACATTTAACTCTTGCCTTAGAGCTATTTTGACTTTATCATTATCGGTATTAGGATTTTGTACATTGTACTTTTTACATATTATCAATTGAAACGACATTGTCGCAGAGCATGACAACATGCTGTTAAAACAGGTCAGTTTATATTGTACAAATAATAGAGGGCGTGGGCCACTCAACCGTGGGCGAGGCCACAAGAAAACGTGTTAACAAAGAATAGGAGTTTCTGGGTGACCGAGACTAGGAATCCACTTACTCAATTTCATCTTTCGTCTTGAGGTCAGTAAATTGTGCATTGTCGATTGACTGACACATCAATATGACTGTTAATACAAGATATCGGATTTTATTTATTTTAATTGTGGTTTCCTTTATATATATCATATTCATTATTTATACTTCGCCTTATGACACTTTATCCCGATTAGGATTTATCTGTAACAGTTCGACATATACTAGCGAGGATACAGTATGTCCTGGGGTGTTTTCTCATATGACACGTGGTTATTGGAAGCCGTTACCTCACTTTACGCGGGAATTGGTGGAAATACTGGTCAAAAGATTTAGAATCGAGAATGCGCGGATTCGGCATATGCCTGAAAGTTATCAAAGAAAGGATGGTAAATGTGGTAACGTGAATTTCATGCGAGCTAATTTTAGGGCATTATGTAACCCTAAAGGACCTACGCCATGTTGTTATGATGGTTATTGTGTGTCTAAATCTATTGAAGACTGTAAATGTGAGGAATGTTATGATCTAAGACAACGTATTTCAGCCGAATCTTCTACCTGGGTGCCATCACATCCCGGTTGTCAAGTTGATGACTTTGATTCTACCACAGCATGTCGTTTACTCCATAATTCTACCATATTCTGGAGTGGAAATTCCTTCGTTAGACAGATGTTTATGGCTTTAACTATGATATTAAGGGGGGATTTAACCCATGCAGTGGTTTACAATATTAAAGGTAACTATTTTTACTTCCACATATTATGTTTGATTTAACCCATGCAGTGGTTTACAATATTACAGGTAACTATTTTTACTTCCACATATTATGTTGGGAGACATTTGATTGCCGTCTGGTATATCGGTCGGTCCGTCCGCCCGCCGGTCTATCCATTTATACTATCTGTAAACACTCTACATATTTTTTTTTTATTTTTAATTTGGATTTTTTTTTAATTTGCTGGTGTCGTTTGTGTAGTCATCTGCGGCGTTATTGCCACTGTCATTAAAGTCTTTGTGAATTCAATACAGATATGGTGTTTATTTACACGTATTGTGTTGTTGCTGCATCTTTCTGCGTCATAAGGACTGTCATTGAGTCAACTGGCGGGGTTTCGATTCCCCGGTTGTTGTGGCAAGGAATAGGATCGCCTGTCCAACCCCGTGAGTTTTCTCCGGGTCCCCCGGTTTCCTCCCACTCATGATCATACCTAAAGGGGTGCAGGGGGTACATTGCAACCCCCCAAAAATAAGGCGCCCCCCCCCCCCCAAAAAAAAAAATGACAACCTTTCGAATACCCGGTTGTTCGTGGCAAGGAATAGGGTCGCCTGTCCAACCCCGTGAGTTTTCTCCGGGTCCCCCGGTTTCCTCCCACTCAGGACCATACCTACCAGGGTGCAGGGGTTACATTACAACCCCCAAAAAATAAGGCGCCCCCCCCCACCAAAAATGACAACCTTTCAATTATAAAATAATACACTTGATTATGATCAGTCGGTCGTACGTGATTCGTTTGCCCTGGTCCAATCGCCACCAATAGGCGAAGTGCCCCTCCTATCACTCCTTTCTAGATCCGCGCCTGCGTAACCACATAACATTAGAGGGTTCGTTTTGGTCGCCCTATCCACATCTGATGGAGCCTTTTTATCGGTCTTTGGGGGGAGGGGAGGCGCCGCCCCCAAATGACATTATTAGAGATTCTAGTTCTGATCGCCATATCCACGTGGTGTTTCGGACGGTTTGTTTGGGGGCGCCGCCAACAATACTATACAAATTACGAATTGCTATTTATATGGAGTGAGGCATAAGCCTGTCACATTTTTTATTACTTTTTAGCTCCAGGGCCGGCGAAAACAATTTCTGATCGGGGGGGGGGGCTACCATCCTAGGACTTTAGGCGAGGGCCCAGGGGCCGCCTAGGCCCCGGAAGGTCATGGGGATCTAGAGCCATCCGGCTAATGAAATTACACAGCAAGGAAGTGGAATTTTATCTTTTCCAAATCCCCTTACCATGTAGTTCTTACACTGTAGTTCTGACACATTAGTGATTAATTCATCACAATTCCAAGACATTACGAGAAGGTTTAGAGGCGGTTCACATTCTGTAATGTTCAAAATCTATATATGGCAATATAATGTGTCAGTGCCTACATGCAGAATATTAGGTTAAATGAGCGTTTAATCGAATCTAATTAGCATCATGTAGAATAGTAGCTAGTGTCTAGTAAATCGAGTCAATTGCTTAGCAACCGAGCGGATGTTGAGAACATGTGCAAGTGAAGCTGGCAGTGTGTGATGTGAGCTGGTGACAGCGTAATGTTTTCTACCGCAGACGCAGATGCAGACGTAGACGCATTCCGTTTCGCTATGTTGGACATTTCATTATCTATGTATATATAAAATGTGACCTGCAAGCTGTGAACTTTTGTGTAATATTATGTGACGGTGAATTAATAGTTGTTATTGTTTACAGTATCGTGTTTCTTAGACATATCACGGGTTTTCAAGCGCATATGGAACGGTGAGCTGAAAAAGGGACTAATAGCGGTGTCATGTGAATATTTTAGTGAAGTGAACATCGTGGAACTAGTCTTCACCAGCTCGGCATCTACACAGTCTATACATCAGTATCTGGCGTGTCCACCGCGAGTGTCAATAACAGCAGCGCAGCGTCTGTACATGGCGTGGACCAGGCGATTGATGAACGTCATTGGCACCTGGACCCACACCCACACTGCCATCTGCAGTTGATACGCAATACCGACTCTCATCTGTGAACAGAACATTTCTCCATTGCCTGTGTCGCCAGTCGATGGCGAGGAGTGAGGATAGGTCCACGGTAAGATCTACGGCAATGGATGTTCTCTCTGGCGAGACGTCGCCGCACTGTACATGGGCGTTACACAAGGGGGGAGGGGGGTCCGGGCAACCCCCCATTCTGAATATACTTAGACCCCCCCCCCCACACATTTACATAGTAGACCCTAACTCCTATTTATTTACAACAATAATTAGGATTAGTTAAGATTCTATCTGTATAAAACAATGTACAAATTAAAACACAAACACTTATCTTCTTTAAGTGGCATTGAACAGTAACACACTAACACTATTTATGGAATAACAATCACTGGTTTATTAACATGCAACGTTTCGACGATGATATTCTCGTCTTTATCAAGCAAATGATGCTTGATAGAGAGAGAGAGAGAGAGAAATGGGGTTTAACGTCCACTCGACACAAACTAGGTCATTTCGGGACTAACATATGGTTTATTTCAATAATTCGCTTGCGCGTAGGGGTCTTTAGCAGTGGGAGGAAACCGGAGGACCCGGAGAAAACCCACGAGGTTTGACAGGCGACCCTACTCCTTGCCACGTACAACTGGGGATTCGAAACCACGCCAGTCGACTCAATGACAGACTTTGTGATACAGCGCGCGCACGCTAACCATTCAGCCATCCACCCCCCCCCCCCAAATGATGCTTGATAAAGAAGAGAGTATCATCGTCGAAACGTTGCATGTTAATAAACAAACACTTATGTTTACTTTTTGAAATCCATTTATAATACAGAAAATGTACAAAATACTTTAAATATCTATACAACATTCTTGTAAATGTCAATGTTGTATATATATATATATATATAATTAAAATTATGAAATCTGTAAGTTCTTTACTTAAAGTTTCATGTGGTACTCCACACTCATCAGAAGAAAAATACAAATGAAGTTTGATTACACGAGGCATGGTAACAACGGTTGACGGGCGTGACGTCAACAGTATACAACAAAACATAACAAATTATTTAGGAAAGATATTACTGAATTATAACTACTAAAACATCTGTGTCTTAGATGAACCAAGCTTTAAATATTGTCGACTAGTAAATTTAGTATATGTAGTTTATAGGGTATGACCTATTGACACAATTTACATTAAAGTTAACTGGCGGAACAAGGCAATTATAAAAACATACTTTGGTTACTTAGAATATAAAGCAAAATACAACAAAATGATGTGCTATAGTTTAAAGATCTGCAGTAAATATTTATGAAGATGCCTGCATGTAGAAACAAGCTCATTTCTTCTATTTAAATAATAAAGTATTTCTCCCATAAGCATAAGTTGCATCTATTTGTGGGGGGCTGTATGGTTTGAAATTCTTTAAAATTTTCCATGTGATGCTGTAATTTATATTATCGTCTTTAAGTTTCCATATGTATTTACTTAATTCCGTGCAGTTTTTCAGCTTAGTGTTTCTAAAAGAATAAGTGTGGTTATTAAATCTAGTTTTAAAAAGGGCCCCCCCGTGAGGCCTACATAGGTTTTTTTCTGGTTTGTTGTTAGCGGAGACTATCGCTTGGTATATTACTGACTCTGTCAAACACGTTTTTGGTAAGGGGCAACTGCCACGATTTCTACAATTAAATTTTTCGTTATTTGAGTTTGAATCACTTTTAGCCAGGATTGATTTATTGTGATTGTTGATGCTCTGTTGTATATTATTCATTGTACAATAGCTAATTTTGACGGTATTTCAGTTCAATATTTTGTACAATATGAAGCCATTTATAATTGTTATCAATTATTAGATGCGTGGTGAATATAGTTAATCATATTAACCGACAAAGAACCTATTAAAGTATCTTTTATATGAAATGAAGCCTATGTGATCACAGAACGAAACCTGTGGTAATCTAGTCTTCTCAATAATCGCTCTTCAACAATCAGTCAATGTGTACAATAATTGGGCTTATTAATCAGGCAATGTACACAATGCCTGGAAATTTTAGGCAATGTACACAATGACTGGCCTCATTAGGCAATGTACACATTGACTGGCCTCAATAGGCAATGTACACATTGACTGGTTATTTCAGGTATTGTACACATTACCTGATTGTAGACATTGACTGTAACATACATATATAATAGTATTGTAGTAAACGAGGTCATTGTCAAATATGCATCCTCATAAACTAAAGTTATGTGATCAAGTGTTTATTTCATTTTCATCTTCCTCATACAAATTCCCCTACTAAACTCTCTTTGTCGTGTTGTCCATAACTCAAGCGTAACATTCAATATGTAAAAGTCCTGAAAAAAAATATGAATGCGGCACCCCCTGACTTAAACATGATAAACATTGTATTGGTGTGATGTTTTAGTTTAACCTCGTAAGCTAAAACAGTGTTTACAGAAGACTGAAACTTTAAACATTTTTTTTATGGGGGGTGGCCACACCCCCAAACCACTCTCCCTATCGCGCTACAAAGATAGTCAACAAATTGTCAACATTACATATAATTTCATTTGCGCCCCCCCCCCCCTAATATATATTTCACGGCTACGCCTCTGGCACTGTATCGGTACTGATGGGTCTTCCATGTGTTCTCACTGCCTGGCGTGCTGTCTCAGATGCCTGTGTGATGGGATTCTGCGCGTGCTGTCGCACAACATGGTAGCCTTGTGGTAACCCTTGGTCGACCAGTTCAGGGGCGATCATCCGTGGTGTTGGTGGCCCGAAAGCGTCCCTGAAGCCTGTAGATCGTCCGAACATTGACCTGGTAGTGATTGGCAACGGATTGGGTAGTTTGGCCAGCGCCGAGTATTCCAAGGGCCTTATTGCTCAGGTAAATTTGGGGATGGGGTCACGAATATACAATAAAAATATTTGGCAAGTTTTATGCAATGTGTCTATCCAGAGTAACATACCAACCTGACGTTTCTTT